GTTTAGGGCATAATGAAATTGAGGTGTGTATTTATAGGCAAATTTATGGCAAAGTTAAAAGTGTAAGAAATCAAGTTATTCTATCTTTTGAGGAGCATTTGGATAGCATATTAGTATAATACTATTTATTTTGTTCGAATGGTATACAATCTGTCACAATTTATATGGTATTGTTTAAATTTTGAAAGTCAAATCTTAAAATTTTAATCCTGAATTCAGCTTAAAAATAAGCCAAACGTCTTTCGAAACAAACTCTTTAACCTCACAAGGTAAATGTTAAGTTTAAAAGATATCACATAAATTGAATCTGAGTTGAAGTCGGAGAGAGTGTATGACTTAAAATTCTATTGAAATAATTAAGAAATGAATTAAGATAGAATTTTGGCATGCATGGAAAGTTGCAGACATGTGAACAAATGCTAGCCTGGAATAAAAGGTGGCTAATAATTTAAAAGCAGAGAACTACTGGCCCAAATTAATTTGGACAAGATCTTTTTCTTGAAAGTTGAATGTTTTAGTACTAGTGGAATTTATTATATTGATTTTTGGGGGGATCACAAGTCAGACCAAAAAGTACAGAAAATACACCCGTGACTTCCCATTGGCCTTGTAGTTTGTGTCAATCTTTCTTAACTTCACATTCGATCACCGGAGTCGTAAAAATATGACACTTGTACTTAATTTAACCTTGAAATTCTATTTATCATGGGAGAATTATTTAAGTCCATATAAGAAGATAACAACTCTAATTTTCAATCAATGTGAAACTTTAACCTATTCTAACCCCCCCCCCCCCTCACATCCAAGCCCAATTGGAGCATGGATCGAAAGTTCAAACATGGATGAACGAGATGGATTGATCTTCCTTATCATGCCTCTTGTGGTCGTGCTTAATATAAGTTTTCTCCTGCCCTAAACAGTTTCAAAGTTTTCATTGATTACAGAGGTTTTTACCACTGAACTTGCTTATGCTCCCCTTTGATTGAGTGCTATTTCTATAACTAAGATTGAGTAGGAAAAAGTCAATCGAGATTGTCTCGGATATCATGTAAGATATGACACTTGAGCTTAACTCCATTCTCCTATCAACGTGGAACTTTAACCCACTATAACAAGAATGTGACCTAGTTATCTATGAAGTAGTTGAAAATTCTGAAGTCTTAGTTTCAAAATTCAATTGAGACTATATCCTATAGATCACCATTCTTACCGGAGAATCATATGTAGTTTGAGTCCATTGTTGTTAGGTAATGTAAATTGTCCAGTACATGTACATGTATAGTTGTACATTTGACTTTGTCGACCAATATTACTACGAAAAACTTATATAAATATACAATACTAAGGAAATATTTATCATTTATAGCAATAATTTTTTTTTCACTTGATCACTTTTATACATCTATAATATAATTTTAATTCATATTACAGAGAACAATTTGTAGAACACATATAATACAAATTTAATACATATATATTGCATACATAATTCACTTAAATATATATTGCAGATTATCATAATATTAATATTTATTGCTATAAATAAAAATAAATAAAAAAATATCGCTAAAATTAATAATTATTTATTAAAAAATAATCAAGTAATTTTTCCTATTACCTTTTTATGCTAATATTGGCCCACCCCCAACTCATAGAAATTAGGCCCATTAAACATTGTATGTCCAACTATCCTTTGGCGAAAGGGCATTAAAGATGGCAGAAAATTGCAAATCTTTCGTAGAAAAATTGTATATAATAGCAAATTAATAACCTAAATTAAATAGAATAGCTAGGGTTTGATTTAATTGTGCTCCATAGCAAACATTAGCTAAAATTTTCCAGCGTCTCTCTCCCAAAAATCTCGCTCGCCACTCTCCATTCTCGCTCGCCTCTCTCGCTTTATACACAGAATTGTATAATTCTGTTTCTGTTTTGTATAAAGCGAGAGAAAATTGTATATACACATACAAAAATGTATATCGTCGTGTCATACACTTAATTATACAATTTACAAACATTTTATTTCAAATATTGTAGAAAAAAACGCCAACGAATTATACAATTGCAGTGAAATACAATTTTCTCTACCTTTATACAACAGAAGTGTATATACTGTGTTTCTGTTTTTGTATAAAGCAAGAAAAACATATATCTTCTTGCTATACACTTATAATTATGCAATATACATACATTTTAATTTGATTCAACTGTATGCAAAACAAATTATATAATTGCAGCGAAATAGACCAGCGAATTATACAACTTAGGCCAGCGAATTATACAATTGTATATGTATAGCAAATTATACAGTTTTATGTTTGCTATGGAGCGCAATTATGCAAAGTTTGCTATAGTATACAAATATGAATTTTTTGTTTGTTATATGTGAAAGTTGCCCATCTTTCATTGACGTGGTTCCACTAGAAAGATTTCAATAAAGGGAAAATTATGAAAAATAACTAATATTTAGCCTATATTATGTATTATAGTTACAGTTTAAGAAAATTATAATTTGTTATTATTACAGTTTTTCTAATTTTTGCTATTCACCTAATTTACATAATTCGCCTCATTTATATGATTCGGTTTCTGATTGTATAAATTCAGAATTTTATATATGTTTATCCTATCTATTTATATATGATTATGAAAAATTCATAATAAATTACCCTGTTTTTATATTGTCAAGCAAAATATACAAACGAAGTTCTTAAATTCCTAATTGTATAAATACGTAATTTGTATATATTTACTCTATTTGTATATTCACAAGCGAAAATACAAACAGACAAAAAATATACAAACGACAACCTTCATAACAAACAAAACTATAATTATAAAGCGCAATTATTAAAATTATAAATATAGAGCCTTATATATCTATTATATTTGTTATTTTTAAAATTTTGTGAAATTTAAATTAATAAGACTAGTTTAGTAGGTATAAAACACAAGAAAACACTATGCCAACGACAACAATTTGAGCTGGGTGATCTTGGCCACATTCATGAAAAGAATATTCTTAATCTAATTAATACCGATGAAGCCCACTTGTTACCTCCTTCTGAAGCCCGTGACTACATTATTAAACAATAAAATTTCATAATCATATATTAATAGGCAATTTTTACATATAGCAAATAAAAAATTTATATTTATATGCTATAACAAAGTTTGCATAATTTCGCTCCATAGCAAACATAAAAACTGTATAATTCGCTATAAATATACAATTGAAGAGAATTGTATAAAACGAAGTGTATAAAATGAGAATGAGAAAGATACTTGGGCAGAGAATTGTATAAACGAAGTGTATATAACGAATTGTATGGTTATAAGTGTATAGAACGATTATATACAATTTGAATTTGTATAAAATGAGAAAGAGAAAGATAAAAGAGACTTGGACAGGGAATATACAATTGAATCGAATTGTATAAAACGAGAAAGAGAGAATTAGATACAATTTGAATTTGTATTAAACGAGAAAGAGAGAAAGGCAATAGAAACTGGGTAAAGGAGTATTTTTATTGTATAATTATAAGTGTATAGGACGAAAATATATGTACTTGCATGTGTATATATAATTTTCTCACGCTTTATACAAACAGAAACGCAATTTATACATTTCGCTTCTATTTGTATAAGTGATTTAAGGCGAAGGTTGCGAGCGAGATCTGAAAGAGGGGAGAAAGGGGAACAAAAATATATGTGTTTATACAATTTTCTCTGCTTTATACAAATAGAAACAATTTTTATACACTTGTGTTTGTATAAAAAGTGAGGAAGCGAGCGAGAGATTGGAGCGAGAATGGGAGAGTGGCAAGCGAGATTTTTTATACAATTTTGGCAAACATTTGCTATGGAGCATAGTTAAATCAAACCCTACCTACTCCATTAATTTTATGTTATTAGTTTGCTATTATATACAATTATCCCTATAATTTATAGATCACAAATTTAAATCGTGAAATCAAATATTAAAATATTAATATTTATACTATAAAAATGAACGAAGAATATTCTGTCCATCAAATTACCCTTCTAAAAATAGGAATTTCATATAAGAGAATCGGCTAGGGCTTTATGATTACATATAGCCTTTGCTTTCCTTTTCAGTAGAACACTCTAGTACCATGGGAATTTCCTGTCATGTTTTGAGATTCCAATTGAGATATTTTAATTTACACTATGAAGTCATTTAAAGTTAATTAAATGCCAATAATTATCTAAAGTGTTAATTGACTAGTAACCTAGAAAAGAGAAAACAAATTCATTCTATCGGTAAATCATCATAAGCGATAATTAATTCTTAATTATTATTAAAATATGTATTTTTAGCAGTAATTAGTATCTCTTTGTATATGTCTCTAAAACCTTTAGCGATATTGATTCTAATGATACTTAACTAATGCCAATAAAAAGTTTAACACCCTTTATTGATGTCAATATTTATTGCCGCTAAAAGTTATTTTTATTTTAATATATATATGGTATACTAGACTCAGAATATATGTTACACCCGACTGCGATTTAGCGGCAATAGTATAATTATCTGTATATTATATTAAGTGTCAATGATAAATATGAGATACTTATAACTAATACTCTTATAAATACCGCTAAAGGTTTTAGCTGACACTGAAGGAAATTAACTCAATATATTGTTGTTAAATGTTATTGCAGCTTGCTTAAAGTAAATTTATTGCAACTAAATATCTCTTTTGTTGTAGTGTCAGTGTATAAATAATAGTATATTGATAGAGGCCTAGGGATGAAACAAAACAATACCTGCATAACTCCATCCAGCTAGTCGAGGACCGCTTAGAATATACTAAGTTGGAATTAATTAAACATGGAACATGTCTACCTATATTAATTTAATTCCATCTTGACATATACCTCCAAGATCTACCAGCTAAAATTCCTTGCTTACACACATGGGGTTAAGAATGTTTTCTAATCATTCTTCTAATCTTCTTGCATATTTATGTAGCCTATAAAAACCCAACCATCGTTTTAATTCTTCATCATCATCTCTTTAGCTAATCACAAAGTCTTTTAAGAGTCTAATTAAGATCATGGCTAAATCACTTGCCTTATTTCTTCTATTCAATATCCTTTTCTTCACTGTGGTGAGTGCATGCAACACTTGCCATAAGCCAAAACCAAAACCAAAGCCAAAGCCAACGCCGAAGCCATGCCCCCCTCCTCCTTATTCAAAAGAAGGCAAATGCCCAAAAGATACTTTGAAATTAGGTGTTTGTGCTAATGTGCTTAGTGGTTTGTTAAATGTAACACTTGGAACTCCACCTGTAAAACCATGTTGTAGTCTTATTGGAAATCTTGTGGATTTGGAAGCTGCTGCTTGTCTTTGCACTGCACTTAAGGCTAATGTTTTGGGGATTAACCTTAATATCCCTATTTCACTTAGCTTACTTCTTAATGTTTGTAGCAAGGATGTTCCAAAGGGATTCATTTGTGCTTAAATGCCTTTTGTGTTTTTGATATTCATTTGTTTAGTCATTTATTCTGATGTTCTATTTGTTTATATATGCACTAAACATCTTGTTAGGTGCAAGGTTGTGATTTGTTTTGGATTGCTCATTGTTGGAATGACACCTCTTCATGTGCCCTTTCGAAATAAATAATATATTTCTCAGTATCATTTTATCCATCTCTACTAGTGACTGAGTCAGAATTTTCATTAAAGAGCTGTTCAAAATATGAAAAATTAAACAAGAGGTTCAATATCTACTATATATACTTGAAAAGTATAATAATTTTACATCTAATAAACCTCCTTAACCCTACTGACTCCGCTCATAATCTCTACTTATGATGTACTACATACTTTTGTTTCTTAGACCATGACTTTCCTTTGTTATTAGGTCTAAAGAGGACATATCAGATAACAACCACTACAACTAAGACCAAATAACAAACTACTGCTAGAAAATCATAGTTTAGAGGGTAAAAGATGTAGCGTTCATCCAGGTTTATGAACTTTTGGGGAATTTTAGCGACTACCGAAATTCTCACCTTGTTGATAAGGGTTCGATTTGCCGTCTTGTTTCTCTTCTTTATTTTTTCCTTGCACTTTGTTTGGATGGTCTTTAATTTACATAATGCATGTATCGTATTATATTGTATTGTATCATCTTGATAAACACAATCTTTGAATAGATTGTATCGTTTTCCATTGCTACATAATATCATCCACGAGCAATTTGAAGGACAAACATATAAGAAAAGCAAGGTATTTTGTAGAGCTATTGTAAACAAGTGTAGTGAATGAATTAAACAAGATATTTTATTTTTTTAGATAATGTCCAAGTAGCCCCTCAACCTATGCCCGAGATCTTAGAGACACACTTATACTATACTAAGGTCCTATTACCCCCTGAACTTATTTTATTAATAATTTTTTACCCCTTTTTAGCCTACGTGACACTATTTTGTGGGCCCAACGATGGTTGACTTTTTTTTTCAAACTAGTGCCACGTAAGCAAAAAAGGGGTAGAAAATTACTTATAAAATAAGTTCAGGGGGGTAATAGGACCTTAGTATAGTATAAGTGTGTCTCTGGGATTTCGGGCATAGATTGAGGGGGTACTTGTGCATTTTCATTTTTTTTTTCCAGAAAATAAATAAAATAAGGTAACGATGCAATAACGCTCAATCGGTTGTTACATAAGACTTTTTGTCATTACGTAACGATGAATTTAACGATATATGATATACGATAAAATTTAAAAACAACCAAAACAAAACAAATATTATATATATTTAAACTAACAATACAATATAAACTTTTTTTCATCACATTAATAAAAAAGTTTAATTTTTTAAATATCTAAAGTTTTTATTTTAAAATATTGAGTTGATCTAATCCAATTTAATTTAACTTCAAAATTAGGTTAGGAATTCATTAAATTTTTTCGATTCAATACATTTTTATGGGTAAATTCATTTAAATTTTTTGATTCAATACATTTAAAATGCATTAACCAATGTGGTCAAGTAAAAGGTCAGACAAACAAATTGAAACGGAGAAAGTATTGTCATACGAAGATTCAAATTTTTGATCCTAGTATAGTACTACAATAGAACAGTAACATATATAAAAAGGAGAAAGTTAAGCCCATCAATATTTATAACATCGAACATTTTAACATAAACTTTAAAAGATGACATTTATTTCATGAAAAGAAGGCAATAACTATAGCCTCCCTTGTAAACAAACTAGAATACAATAAGGAAGTATACTTCCTTTTGAAAATAAGCCCACAAAACATCAAATAATACACTGAAAGAAATTGAACTATATGAATTGAAAATTTGGCTTATTTGCATTGGAAGTTCTTGGGTGCATATTTGCCACAATTGTTAAGCAACAAGCTAAGTGAAAGTGGGATATTTAGATTAATTCCCAACACATTGGCTTTAAGGGCAGTGCAAAGGCAAACAGCAGCATCAAGATCAACAAGTCCTTCAATTAAAGAGCAACACTGAGTCTTGGCTGGACTACTTCCAACAACAAGGTGCAATAAATCACCCAATAAATTGGCACAAGCATTTAGTTTTAGTGTGTCCTTTGGGCACTTACCCTTTGATGATGGGGTGGAGGGGGTAGAGGGGGTAGGGGTAGGGTGGGGTTTGGGGTGTGGGGGTGGTGGACATGGGACATAAGTGGAACTAACCATAGTGAAGAAAAGAATGTTGAATGTGAGAACAAGGGCAATTGAGTATGCACCAAACTTAGCCATTTTTTCCAAAATTAAGAAATTAAAATTAGTACTCTCAACAATTGAATGTGGCTAATTAGTAGTGAAAATGTTGTTTGTTTGGTGTTTGAGATTATGAAATGAGTGGCTATTTATAGATGGAAATTCTGATTTATTTTTTTCCAATTTTATTTTTCTATCTTTTCAAAAAATTGAGAAAGGTCCATGTGGAGACAAGGAGCTGGCAAATGCAACTTGAGATATTATTATTGTTATTATTGGATTATAAATTTATATTATTCTGGATTTTATTAGTTGTCTAATTATATGATCTTCTTCCTAAAAAGATAAATTATTTATCCTTTGAACATGGATCCCATCAAGATTAATTCTTATTACAAGTATATTTTTGTGGTTACAACATGCAAGATATGATAAATAATGACCAGTTAAAACAGTAAATTATATTGATAGTATAAAAGTTTTATGTATTATATTGTCATTTATGTAATTTTAATTAATCATTTTATCATAACTAGATATGTACTTATATGTAAATTAAACTTAGTTACCTAACACTAACAGACAGTAATTATGGCTTTAGAGCAGGATGATCTATTGTAGAGAATGACATGTATGCATGATAAATAATTAAAATTAGGAAAAATTAAGCCGTGATTTCACATATTAATAATGTGCTAATAATGAGTAATTTGCCTTATTAACAACTATCAAATGCTATTATCATGGTTCCTGTGATAAATATTTTATGCTAGAACTAGTAACGTGATTAATATAATATAATATAGATGCATGGTAAGGTGGTACGCCATTCTATTGTAACTATATTATTATTATTATTTTTTATATTACGGTCGATTTAGTTATTATTGTATATTAATTTAAAATTATTATAAAAAAATATAAATTTTAAGTTCTATATTCGTTATTAATTTCTAACAATTGAAGGCATTCTGAAATAATGTGACACTTCTCATCGCGCTCCATCGTTAAGGTATACAAAATTCAAAACTATATCTCATTAATTAGGCTTCACCTTTCAAGTCAATGCATTCATTACATTTTATTGGAAAAAGTAAATAATCTAAAATGATGTTTTCATTTTTTAAAAAAATTATCACGTTTAATTTATATTACTGAATACTTTCTTCGTTCTAAAATACTTGTTATATTTTACATTTTGAGAATCGAATAGTATGGACCTTATCAATACTATAAAATATATTTTCATCATAATGATGAAACGAATTTAATCACAACTTGTAGTATTTTTTTTCACCATTTTTGACTGTATATTTTATTATTATTATTATTATTAAATTAATTTTATTTAATATAATTTTAAAAATTAAACATGATAATTATTCTGAGACGGAATAACTTAGATAGTCCAATGTCAAATCACTTTTCTCTTTTGTGGAGAACAAAAGATTGTGTGGCGTATATATGTTCAAATTTTTAATTTTTTTAATCAATATAATTATGTTTGAAGTCAATATTAGAATCACAATATGGAAAAATAAAATTACTAGGAAAAACTATTAATATTCCTTTGGGTCAAAATATGAATGCTGATATTAATTAAGGTTCTCAAGTAATTTTATATCTATTTATAGCACAAACCATAATATGTGTGGTATTGATAGTTCGTGGCAAAAAAAGTTGAAAAATCACCGAAAATATTGACAATTTATCGTTAAAGATGCTAATGCAAAGTTATGATTGGACATGTATATTGTTAAAATATTTTCAACCTTCACAATTCATAATCACAGGAATAAATATCTTTTGATATTTGTTAAAATTTTTATTTCAGTTTAAATATAGTTCAGTTCAAGGTTCAAGTTCAACACTTTTAATTGAGATAGCTTCAATTTCATCCACGATAAATATGTAATATATACACCTATAGATGATTATTCACGTATTGAAAGTAAATCATGTAGTTATTTGTACGGATTTGAAAAATATGACGGCCTTGAACTTAATATATTCATTTCTAGAATGCATGAATTTTAGATTTTTGCATGTAAATTCATAGAAAATTTTGAAAATAGCTCCTAAAATAAAATCTTCCTATAATATGGACTTTTCTAATAGTGACAGGAATAGACACATTTTTTGTATTTAGTTCATATATTCAAAGTAAACTATCATGGTTTGGAAAAATAAAAATAAATTGTAGATGAATTTTGAAAATTTAATGAAAACAACTTGATCCACCATGCTATTTATTTGTTGTTTTATGCATAAACTGCGCAATAGCTGCCAAGAATTTCAACCAATTGTGACAGGACAACTAACTCATTTTTTTACTTTACTATATTTAATCTTTTGGTCTAGACAAGAGCTAGAGATTCACTATAATAATAATATTATTTATTTAACGACGAATAAATTATACCATTAAACAATAAAAAATTATGACAATTCTATTTATTGACGGATTATCAAGATATCATATTAATAATTACAAATTTTAAAGCTATTTTAAAGATCTTCTTGAATAGAATATACATGTATTAAAATTATATAGCTATAAATAATAAATATTTTCTAAAAATGATATACGCTAGGTGTTTGTTTTGATTTTTGGGCTTACTGGACTGTTTTTCATGGGCCAACTTTAGGGTCTTCATTTAAAACATAGCCGTATTATAAAATGTTTCAAGTTTAGCCAGTGGTAATTAATTTCAAGCCCTTTCTGATTGAAGTTCAAAAAATAACTCGTATCTGAAATTTAGCATCAATTTTTTTTTTTGCATGAATTTTCAGGACTATTAAAAAGGAAAAATCAGATGCTCAATATTTTCAAAGCCTCAAAGCATATTACTAATTGAGCATAGTTCATATACTTTATTATTAATGGAAATGATTTTTACGTTATTACATCTCTTAGATAATTTTATATGTAATCATCGGTAAA